TTTCTTTTGCGCGTCGTTTTCCTCGTTAGACTCGTCGGCTCTTTATCGTTAGGAGCGAGTCGCATTGAACAGCTGTTACTACTCGACGTACTTAGAGCGCGACCGGGTTGCATAATATCAGGGGCACGTTGTGAAGGGATAAAAGCTGGTGTACGATAATCACCAACGTCGTGTGTAGCATGTCTCGACCTTATTGCAAACATGTTACCTGAAACCGTTTCATCTACTTCTGGTTCCGCACCGGAATCGGACATGTAATTATCTAAAATTTCGCCGTTACGAATATTTCGGCCTCGCGTCTTCTTCCGGTCCCGGTCTCCTTCCTTTGTTCGAATCGACAACCTCCTTTTCGGAAGCTGCTCAATCCACGACGTACTTGGGAGGTGTATCGATCGGTGATAAACGTCAACAATTGTTTTGAGAATAAACTGATAACAGTCAATAAAATCCAACTCAATTTTCACAAGTTCACTTGACACTTCTGATTTATAACCCGCGGCAAGTTTGCTTTAGAATTGTTATAAAAATTTGATCTCGAATTTTATTATGATTTCGAAGCGGAATCCTCGACGACGTTAGAGTTCGTTTCTGCAATGAAGAGCTAGAAAGCTCAACTCCCGCGGAGAAATAATTATGGTAAAACAACTTGAAGTTAATCGTGAAAATTTGTTACAGGATTTTACTGAATGAATAAAAAGAAAATTTATCTCTTTTCAAAATGCGACAATTTATTTCTATAACGCAACAATACAACTTAAGATTTGTTCCAGAAAGTATTTCGAACTTTATTCTTTCAAAGTCGGGGAAAATCTGACGTTACATCTCTCTATCTCTACAGTCTCAACCTGGGGCCTCAACCCCCACCCCCGAAGGGAAAAGGGTAGGAGTACATCCATTCCCACGCACTCTTGCAAAAAACTGGAAAAACCAAAAATACGGAAAAGAGAAAGTTTTCTCGATCATATGATCCTTTCGAGTAGTAGAGGCGACTAAACAAAAGAGACCCTTTTTTATGACTCAGGCCAAGAGGGTCTGGCTGTCTCATAGCACTCATGTGCAAAACATATTTAACTATCTTCGGATATATGATTAAAACTATAAACTAAAATTCTAAAGAGTACCAAAATAACTAAAACGCTCACTTTAGTTCCGCGTTCTTACTCACAAAAAATCTTTTATTATTTGTTACAAGACCCAGCTTTCGTCTCCTCTACCACATGTTTTGTTATAATTTACATTTCTTTTTCGCTAATGGTCTTACCGTGAGAAAATACCCAGTCGAATTGCCCATGTTGCTTGCCAATAGAGCAATTCCCCGGGAAGTAATCTAAAGAATTTTCGATGATTATAGCAATATTAATAATACTTACCGAATTTGTTTCCTCATATACATGGAATAAAAATGTATAAAAGAAAATTAATCAAAAAACCTATTAAAAGAATGTTTGAGTGTTTCTGATGTATAACAAAAGTATGGGGCGCATGATTATTCCCCAAATTTCGTTTTACCGAACTGCACTTTTGCGAATACTCATTTTTGCGAAAAGCCAATTTTGGGAAATATCACTTTTGCGAATTGTCATTTTTTCGAAAAGCTATTTTTGCGAATTGTCATTTTTTCGAATCGCTATTCTTACGAATTGTCAATTTTCCGAAAAGTCATTTTTGCTAATCGCCATTTTTACAAATTGTCAATTTTGCGAAAAGTCATTTTTCGAATTGTCATTTTTACGAAAAGACAACTAAAACATTCAAGAATAAAAGAAAAACTAAAAATTAATCATTTAAACATTGTTTAAACAATTTATTTTTTGTAAAGTTTTTAATTTACTGAACTTAAAACTAGAAACTTATTATTTAATTTATAGTTTTTTATTTTTTAATGAATTGTACTTTGAAAAAACCAGAAACTTTAGCCCTAAGTGCAATTTATGAAAAAAATGGCAACAATTCATTGGCTAAACCGTTTTATAATAAATAATTTTTTATTTCTTATCATCAGTGGATGCTTTACTCATGAAAAATTGTAACAATTAAGAAAAAACTAGAATTTTAAACCCTAAGTATATTTTATTAAAAAGTAACAACAATTAATTGTTCAAACAATTTAATAAATAAATAATTTGGTTTTTTTCAAATGTAGATGTTTTACTCCTGAAAAATTGATCAATTGAGAAAAAAATAAAAATTTCTAACCTTAAGTACAGTTTAGGAAAGAAATAACAATTAATTGTTTAAATAACTTAATAAATTGGTATACTTTTGTTATACATCAGAAACACTTAAACATTCTTTTAATAGGTTTTTCGACAAATTTTCTGAATGATTGAAACTGAAAAAAAATATATTTTACGATTTTATGATTTTTTTAAAACTTATTGTTATTAAAAAAATGTTTAAAAACAAAATTTCAAAACCGGGCTCGAGAGATCGATAGAAAACTTAATTACGAAGATTTAGAAAAAAGGAAAAATCGTTTTGGCAAAAAATTGTGACTTGTAGAGTGATTTGGAACGAAACTTGCGCAGCCATAAACGAATACATGCACGAGTCCCGGCATGCCGCGCTGGACATTTTATTTTTTTTCTCGTAAAGTTATTGTTGTATCATAATTAAATTTATAGGAAGTATTCTTGACTTTATAGACAATAACTACAAAAAAAAAATTTCCAAATCGAAGAGGTATTTTTTTTAAATTTTGATTCAAAAAATTTTTTAAAATTTTTTTCGGGCAAAAAAAAATTTTTTTTCTTTTTTTTTTCTTCAAAGTGCTTTTTATTATGAGTATTTTCCAAAAAAAATTATCTTAATCGGTTAACAAAAAAAAAGTTATGTGCCTTTTTTGAAAAACCGACCAAAATTTTGAGTAAGCGGTAACTCAAAAAATTTTAATAATTTTGAAAAAACTTTTATACATTTCTATTCCATGTATATAAGGGATCAAATTCGGTAAGTAATATTAATATTGCTAAAATCATCGAAAATTCTTCAGATCACTTCCCGTGGAATTGCTCAATATTAATTTAGTCTTATAAGTAAACTTATTTTAATAATTAAAACGATATTCAAATTTATCCGCGCATTTAGTGCTGCCTCTAACTGAGAGGAGCGTAATTTCAGGCATACGTTACATAAATTCGATGGTGGAGCCATCTAGTGGTGGCAGCCGGAACTAAAATCGGTCGGTTAAACAGAACATCTAGAGCAACCTACTTTTAAATTGAGTAATGCTGGTAATACAGGAATCTGTATTACTGATTTTTAAGGTAATGTAGATTTAACTCTCTAGGATTTTCAAAAAGTAGATGTTTTTTGCTTTAAAAGATATGTTAAGGCCTCAGAAATAACATATTGCAAGATTATGTCCTGTAGAAATTCCTAAATAGTTAATTTTCAAAGTTTTGTGCAAATCTGCACAGCGCGCGGAGTCCTTATTTCGCTCAACTTAAAACTTTAAACGCGATTGTTTCAGAACTACAACAAAGACTGTTGAGTGTATAATTCAAGCTCATTTTGCTCAAAATTTTTAATTCATTATTCAGGATTCTATTCAAAGTCAGTATTGAGTCAATAATCAGGAAACATCACACCCATATGTCGTTTACTATATGTATAAAGATAAAGATGACAATTTGTGTTCGAAAAGTTTTTGTGTTTTGTCTAATACTAAACATCATACCGCAGAAACAGTTTCAGGTAAGTGGAAAAAATGTGTAATTTTTTTCAAGAAACAAATTTTTAAAATAACTTGTCGTCGACAAATAATAAAAAATTTAGTTTATCTTCATTTTTCATTTCAATTTAAGGTAGCGAGATGACCACCGTTTTGTTCCAGACTCCGAATCCAAAATGAAAATATTCAAAACTTCTAACTCTACAATAAAATTCAGAATTGAAGACATACAAGAATTACCAAGTAATTCTAAAACTACAAGAAAATGTAAAAAGAGAAACACAGCATGAATCAAATTCAAGGTCATAAATAAAAAATATAATTTAATAATGTTATTATATTGTTTATTTTAATTTTTATATTATTTATTTCGTTTACTTTATAGTTATTAAAAAATGTAAAAATTTACAAGCACTGCTAAAAACGATTATATTTATTTTATTTTTATATTAAGAAACTTTAATTTTAATCAATTTGCAACAATTTCCATTAAGTTTGAATTCTGTAAGTAGAGCGATGTGAAATTAGTCGGTTAATTTCAAGTCCAAAAACCTTTTTTAACCAATAATGTAAAAAATTGATATTTTGTAAACGAAACAAAACACCTACGTCAAATTTTAATAATGTGTCAATTATTAGTATTTGAATACACGAAAAAGATTTAATTTTTTTGGTGCATTGAGAAAATAGTTATAGGCTTTAAAAAATCAAGAAATTTTTTTGTAAAAAAATTTTGAGATTTCGTTTAATTAATTGAAAATAATATATTTGAATAATAATCCCATCGTGTTCTGATTTAACATCAAATCATTTATCGTTTGGTAAGTTTAGTTCTTTATAACATTAAATAATTTAATAATAAAAGCGTTTTTAAAAAAGTCCAAAATTTAAGGTTACAAAATAACTCTGTGAGAGTCCAACTTTCGATTAATAATAAAATTTAGAGCATAATAGTATGGTAAATGGACTCGGGAAGTCTTCTAGCTTTACATATTTCGAAACCAGATTATTTAAAATTATAGATAGCTGCAACAGCCACAGACGAAAGCCAGTGGACTGACCAATATTAATTTAAAATTATAAATAAATTTATATTATTTTTATTTACTTTATTTTATTTGTATATTTTATTGATTATTATTTATTTTATATATTTTATTAATTTTTCTTTAATTTATTTTAAAGAAAAATAGGTAAATATTCAACTGTTATCATTTGTTTAAGTTTACATCGGTTATTAAAGGATGTTTTACAATATCATAATAAGAAGTTATTATTTTATACTTTAAAGGGTATAACAAAAAGAGGAGAATATAACAAGTATAACATGAAGGGTATAATACAAGAAGAAATAATAACTCAAAAAGCAAAAACAGTCAAGAAACTATCTAATATGAATATTCAACCTGAAATTCTGATAAGCGCGGATAAGGTAGAACTTCATCAGAAACTTTCTTTAACTAGTAATTATTTTTAATTTTAAAAAATTATCTTTGATTACTGTTAAATTGTATTTACTTGTTAAAAATATTAATAAAATAATTATCTATATTAATTGTTACAAACCAGAAAATAATAATTCAAATTGGTCAAATTGGTTGGGACTTTTAAGATAGTCCTTATTTTTTAATTTGGGGAGGTATAAAGCTGCTAAGGTCTGAAGGACCATGTTTAATTTTGTAGGTCCGTTTATCTTGTTTTATAAGTAGGATAAGTAGGAATCTTGCAAATCAATGGTGACAGACTAGGAGTAACTGATACAGTAACACACAACATACAAAGAAGCGACGATATCCCTGTCTTTTAAAAACAATACAGACCAGCTGAAATATTAATCATTTTAAATTAAACCAAAGACTTACTAGACAGACAAGTTATCGAAAATTCCGACTCACCATGCACTTCACCTGTATGGATTGTGCACAAAAAATATGACTCGAACAAAGAAAAGAAATGGCGAATGGTTATTGATTATCGACGTCTTAATGATGAAACAATAAAAGATTCATATCTTTTTCCTATCATAACTTAAATCCTAGATCAACTTTGGAGGCCCACAATATTTTTCAATCTTAGTCATTACAATGGGCTTCCATAAAATACTAATGGATCCATAATCAAAATAAAAAAAAACTTTTCCTCTTTATTTGGTCATTATAAATTTAATAAAATTCCATTTGGCTTAAAAAACTCTCCATCCACATTCTAAAGACTCGTTGACAGAGTACTACCCGAACTTCAAAATGTATAACTATTTGTCTATATGGATAAAATCATCACTCAGTTTCGATAATTTACACGTCTCTTTACAACAACAAAGATACAAAATAGATCTGATTTAAGGCTACCTGCAAAACACTTACTCCCTCCCACGTTCTTTGCTCTCAAAATTTAGGTCAATTTTAAGGACAGTTTTCACCTACGGGTCAAGACTCGACGAGACGTTCTGCAGAAAAAAGACAAGATGTACACTACCCGTCAAAATTGAGAAATCACCCATTTTCAGGCGAATTAAAAACAGTTAAAACATAAGAAAAGTTTCTGTACATTTTTTGAAAGATGATAAAATTTCGAAAAGAATAAAACATTTTAGAAGTCGTTTGGACAATAATTTATTTAAATATTTTTAAATAATCGTCATTTTCAATGTTTTACAATTTGAATAACTTCTTAAATAATGAACGCTTTTTAATGATCTTACGCTTATTTTAAAGGCAGTTTGGTACACTATAAGAATTACCTATAAGCATTAACGTTTAATGTTGTTCTTAGAAAATGTAGGCTGGCAAACTTGGACTTTAAAAATTCAAAAAATTTAAAAGTCTTATTAACAGGAAAATAATTTTTAAAAATCAAACGTATTTCTTTATTGAATTTTCTTAAAAAATCTACACCATATGATACTTTATATATTTTCTAGAATAGTTTTTAGTATAGAGAAATTGTTTTAAAAAATTTGAATTTTTTTGGTCCAAGTTTGACGGCCTGCATTTTTTACAAAAAATTACACTTTAATGGCTATAAGCAATTCTTATAGTGTAGCAAATGAGCTTTAGAATAAACCTAAGATCATTAAAAAGCTTTCATTATTTTAGAAGATATTCAAATTTTTGTAAAACATTGAAAATGCCGATTTTTTAAAAATATCTAAATAAAATATTGGCCAAATGACTTTTAAAAGATCTTGTTATTTTTAATGTTTTATCATCCTTCAAAAAAGAAAAAAAAATTTAATTTCCATACATTTTATATTTTAAAGTGTTTTTTAATCACCTGAAAATGAGTGGTCTCTCAATTTTGACCGATAGTGTAAGTAAATGAAGATGAAACCAAGTAAAAAGAGGGGGTTGTCGCGCGATGCGCGTAGTATATAATATACATATGGGGCATTCCATTTCAAAACGAACCACTGTTACGAACCAGAAAAATATTTAATATTTAAAACAATTGATAATTTATTAATTGTTAAAATTAAAGTAGACTTTTAAGTTGGTCCTATTTTTAAGATTCTCGGAAGTTCAAACTGACAAGACTAAAGGTCTTGTTTATTATTATGGGATTCGATTTATATCCACGAAGCTGAGATTCTCCTAGAAAATTCGGAAAATCTACCCTATCAGATCTCAAGAAGGAATAAAGAAATTTAAAACAGTTAAAATATATCAGTTATACAGTTATTTATTAAATTTAAATTGACTCGAATTATCTGCCCCTCGTACAATTTTTAGGAAAGGTAGAAAATGGATTTAATTGGCCTGGAACGATACATTGGTACTTACCGTCCTGGCGTTCGCACTTAAAAACTACCGTCGCACTCGTCAACGGGCGCTAAACAAATTTTCACAAATTGTCTCTTATTCTAACTCCTAAACCACCAAACACAGGGCGGACGCGGAAATTTCGCGGATCCGGCCGGTCTTTCAACAAGATAAAATATATCTTCACTGATTCGGCTTCTAGGCTGCCTCCGCGGACTTCGGAGTAAATTGGATTTTATTTTCGTCCGAACAATATTGTAGGTATGACAATACAAACAATAAAGTGTCCTAGTTACCGGACGGGAGACTGCCTGGGATTTTTAATCGTACGCGCTTATTCGCGAGTAGAGACCGTACTGTTCAATTTAGATGGGTAATTAATGTGTTTTTATAGTTTGCTTCCGGAAAGAATGTGGAAAGGTGGGGACAGGGCGTTGGACCTGTTGCTATGCCGAAATTGCTGAATTTGCAATTTTGCAGGTGCATTATGTTGAAATGCATTCCTTTTCTTTTATTCTTAGGAAAGAACATTTTAAATATTCTTTCAATTTTGGAAACAAATATTAATTTGTCTATTTGTTATTATTATTATTATTATTATTTTTTTTTTTTTTTTTTATCAATCTCTGAAAATAGGATTAATGTAAGTTGGAAATAAAGGACATTTCAAAAATAGAAATTCCATTCTATGTTGTAACCCTTTAAAGGTTACTACAATTCCAACATTAAATCAATTGTCCCAATATTGATCTGGAATTGATCAGTTGTTTAGATATCAAAAGAAATGCACATGCTTGGTGTTAGCATGGCAGCATAGCTTGTAGGTCTGGGAAGTGTAATGGGTAAAGAGAGGATAGGTATAGGAACATAAGCGAATGCGTATTTCATAAAGATCCCGGGGTATGTATGTATTCTATGTTAAATTTTAAATGAGAGCGAGCGAGAACCCGCCGTGCATTTGTGGCTATAGGAGTAAAGAGTCGCGAACATTCCGTTAGAGCGAGAGAGAGCGCTTCGTCGTTGAACACAACCTTTGTTTTCTTCGCACGATGCCCGTCTATTACAATGCGGTATTATTTTAATTATATTAATTTTAATTATAAATTTTAAAATCATAATAATTACAATACAATAATTATAATTAATTGAATTATAATGATTGTATTATATTTAATTTTAAATTCTATAATCCTTTATACGTTTTCATTATCCGTGTTGACTTCAAGGGCTTGCATCTTACGTGAATTAAAATTATTTTTGAAACAATAAAATTATATTATTTCTTTTGGATGTGAGTTGCCAAGTGAAGTCACTGTATTCTAAGTGTCGTTTTGCTGACTTCGGGAATTCCTCATGGTAACGCGATCTTAAACCTGCTGCAATCTAACTTGAAGCGAGTTTTAGTAAAATATTATTTTGAAATAAAATGAATTTAAATTTTTGTTTCAATGATTTTTAAACATTTTTAATATATGTTTTGTTATTATATTTATAATTTTTATGTTGCTAATATTGGCGCAACAAACCACCATGGAAATTCCGTTTTCGTCCTCGAAAACTAGCAGCTCTTAGATTCAACACGGTTATTTAAGGATATATATATATATATATATATATATATGTATAGACTGTACGTTGCTGCCTCCGAAATAAATATACAATAGACGAAGTCGCCTCATATATAACGTTGTCACCTCCGATTTCGGAGGTGACAACGTTTTGCTGTATTTTCAATGCAGATCGACGTATAAGAGCGTTTTAAAACATTTGCCGAAAATACGTATGGAGGTGACAAAGTTAATTATGTATCTGCAGTGACGGCATCCTAGTTTGAGTGTATATCACCGGCGCTAGTATCGCTATACCTTGCGGTACATACGCGACGTTGTCACCTCTGTTATATATTTCATAAAACACTGATATAGCCGTATCGTTCTCGCCTCTGAAATCTGGCAACACTGTACAAGACTTTTAACCATGCCTAGAAGTTTCTGTTCACTAACTGAATTTTGGAAATTAATGTGAAGCATGCACTTGTGGATAATGAATCCATTTTTCAATATCTTACTTGTCACTTATATTACAAAATTTTTTATACTGTTTGGTTAGTAATAATAATAATATTTATATTATAATAATTTATAATATAATTTTATTATTATTAAATTAAAAATAATGTTATTACTACTGCATATATATATTACATTTTTTAAATCATATAGGTAGTTTTACTACTGAACACTAAATAATATTTAATATTTTTATCTTGGAGTCAGCATTTTTTTATTATTATTTAATCAATAAGAATTTGAAAAATAATTCTAAGTTCTATAAATTTCATTATTTTAAATAATTTATTTAGGTATTTTGAAAATAATTGATTTAAAAAATATTCAAATTATAGTACTTATATTATCAACTTAAAAATTGATCATTCTCTCTAAATTTGAATAAGTTAATATGCACATATTCATGTTTCAAAATTCTTCCAGATAAGAAATAAGTGCATGTATACTTAAAATAAGTGAAATTTCACTTATTTCAAGTGTATCTGCACTTGAGTCTTTACGTGGAAGATTTTTGACTTATTCATATTTAGAGAGTTCTTTAATTTATTGTGAATATAGACTATGAACGCTGAAATGTTTTTTGTATAAAATCGAAAAATTTAAAA